CTCGTTGTCGTCCCAGGCATCGATCTTCTGCGTCTTTGTACCAGTATCGTCAGATTCACATAGGTCGATTATGTCCTTCTCCGCTTTCAACTGCTTCTCATCCTTCACTTTCCTCTGCGACTTGGAGGGCGATTTGAGCCTCTTAGGCGTTAACTTTAACGAGGGCAAAGGAGACGCGTCGCGCTTGCGTTTGGTGGGCGTAATGGGTGCGAGCTTGATTTGCGATGACGATGGAGATGCGGGCGGTTTCTGTGCCTGGCGGGAGAACATGGCTTGAATACCGTCTTTGCGCTCTGAGATGGGCTGGACAAACGTCGGCGATTCATTGCCGACCTTTCCGACTTCTTTCGGGACTTGATAGCTTCGAGGTTGGTGTGACTACTTGAGTTACGAAAACACTGCTGCAATCTGCTCACCAAAGAAGAGGTGCTTCCTGGTCGTGGTATGGTTCAAGCAGGTCTGCGATCTGCGGGTCCCATTCATGGTTCGTCGTGTCCAGCCAGAGATTTAGTGATTCCTCCGTTGAGAGTATCACGGGTTGACGGTCGTGTAGCCAACCGAATTCTGTGTTTGCTTCTGTGGTGATGATTGTGAATGTAAATAGGACTTGAGTGTGACCTACGAGGGACGTTAATGTCATTATACAGGCTCCGAGAGACGTACAGGGCAGAACCCACCTTCAAGCAAAACACTATCGTACAATCCCGCCAACAGAAGCAGCCTCCCATCATTCCGCTTTGTAAAATGAGGTAAGCGCTCCTTCCCTTTCTTCAGCCATTCATAATACCTTTGGCAGTACGCATGTCAGTTGCGCCAACAAACGGTCAGGATTCTGACACTCACCCCTCGCACGGAATAGCACATCTCTTTCTCCCTCTCAAGCTCATCCATATCCCGCTGCCTTCTACCAAGCTTTCCTTACGTGCGTTGATAGTGTTCAACCTCAAGTCTTCGTACTTGCTCCAGTGCGGGACGAGACCCCATTTCATCGTATGGAGAATAAGTTCGTCCGGGAGAGAGCTACTCGCATCCACGGACGCGTCGGCTGGACTGTCTCTTCTTCGTCTGACCACCGGAGCCCGAGAGCGCGGTGCGACATTGTGTCTAATACACGAGTCAATGCCGGGCACAATAGAAGCGAGATGGGGGAGGGCGCACCGCGGCTGATAGTCATCCTGATCCACCCATTCTCCAATTTGAATATTGTACCCATCCATTTGCTGGATATCGTTATGCTACTCCGGGACCAAACATCTCGTGAGGTGCATATCGCGATGAGGGTATTGGTTTCTAACTTACGGGTATCCCCAGGGCGAACCGTCCACACATCGCGTAGCTTTATTGGATTGCGCAATAGACGCGTCTCTAACAGCTCAAAATATTACAAGGAATACGCTACATCAGCAAAAACGCGAGTAGACCTACGCAATGATCTTTCGCTGCAATATTGAGGTTAGTCAGAAGAGCAACGAGGCCACAGTATGAAAAGTGCTCTACCCACTTAAAACGAATGCAAACGTCCGCGAGGTCAAAGTCGAAATCAGGCGCAGTACACGAGAGGCCACCCCATATGGCTGACGCGAGGGGCTCGCACAAACGGACGTTGCGATGGTGGTGGTACGGATCAAAGCCGGATGAACGCGGCCGCTGCCTTCCCAAAATGGGACTCATCAGCATTGTGGCGTTGGACGCTTGGCAGCACGGTTGTCGATGAGTCGCACACTTACAACGCTCTATTCTAGGGACTTTAGCGTACGATTAAAGATTACCATAAATCCATGAGAATGACCCAGAACTCATCACAATATATCCACGCAGTACAAACTTGAAAAAATAATACAAGAAAATGTCGAAAAACATATACTCAAGTAGCTAGTATGAGATGGCAGTCTTGATGAAAACAGCAGTAAATATTCGCACAGCTCCTAATCGGAAATCTAGTACTACAATGGAAAAGAAGAAATCACCAAAACAAATGTATACTCGGATTTCTTCCCACACTCCCAAATATTCATGTATAGTACTGTAAATTCATGAATCCTTCTCCCATCGTTATGTGCGCTTCCGCTTTCTAGGTGGATGAATGGGAGAGCCCTCAGTTGGCTGGTTTGCGTCGTCCTTGCGCGCAGATCGCTTTCCCTTCCCTTGTTTGCGCTTTCTAGTAGGCAGGGAGAACATACCAGATCCCCGAGGCCGGTCTATTGGCCGAAGGCTGATGCGGCGTGGAGATGGTTTAGTCGGAGGCGCGCTGGACTGGGAGGAGGACGAAGTTGCTTGAGACCAGAAAGAGGCAAGAGTTGCGTTGGATTGGGAGGATGATGGTGTCGCATTCGCTTGAGATGATGATGGTGCGACCGAAAATGAGGCTTGACTGCTGTGGACTTCGGGCCCTCTAAATCCTGTATTTGGACCGGCTTCAGCATTGACAGGGCCCTCCGTATCCTCTTGCAACGGTTTCGCCTCTGCCAGAGATTCGTCGTTGGCTTTTGACGTTTGAATTTCTATGCCTACTTCCCGACTAAAGGAACCAATTTGTGGTCAAATTGCTGCATCTTGTCGGAAGTGGTGATAGCAAACCTGAGGAGACCGCATCCCAGCGGCCCCGAGTCCCCTGGGAGAAGTTCAGGGAGCTCCTCGCTCCAATCGTCTCCTGCAAGCCACCGCAATAGGTTCTTATCTGGAATGACGGCAGGTTGGATACTTCTCGTTTCGTAGGGGTCAGAGGGAATGCCCTGCTGGGTAATTACGATGAACGAGCTAATTTCTTGGCCTGTAAGCTCAAAGTCACCACTAGAATACCATGTTATGATGGCGCACAATGCATACCGTTCACAACATCTGTCTTCCATAGACCCGCTAGTAACACAGGATCGGAACGCTTGTCTTCGCAGATGTACGGATAAGCCTTTTTGTTACGATATTGCCAATGGTAAAATCTGTATTGTCCGCGCAATTATGGACCATTATTCTTGAGTGATTGGGGTCAAGGAGGAGCTTACCCGCTACATATAACTACGCATCTCCCTGTCCTCCTCATCATCTTCCAAAGCCAGTTGCAAGAGTCCTGGGGAGCCACGACGTTTCTCGAGCGTACGTAACAGATTGATGAGTGCTCGGCCCTCCGAGGAGGCAGCCCCCAACTCATGAGCACTATTTCGTGAGTGCTGCCCCTCTTGACAAGTACTGGTAGCTGATGTCCGGGAAAGAGGTTCCAGCTAGTGGAGCATAGAGTCCTCGTTATCAGAAAAAAATCAGTAAAGACTTACCTGCGTGGGATGGTAATCTTCTTGTCAATGTAGATGCTCCAGATGGAGCACGCACGTAGTGCCCTTATTATATCGTCGCGCTAAGAGCAGTGTCTCGGGTTATTTCTTATCGTAGGAATTAGCGGGTAAAGTCGTTACATCCGACAAAAGAATAAGCTTCAGTGTAAAACGTGATTTATTTTGCATGTCTTGATTTTTACCCTTCTCTTCGTTTGTGCACATCTCTCAAATATTCCAGGTGGGATGTAGAATGGATATAGTGAGGCCGCCAGCAAGGCAACGTAGGATGTAGTCTTTGGCAGGGTGTGGGAGGGTCGCGAGTTTCCGGGTCACCCTCATATATACAATCTGTAGCATGACACGTGATGGGGCTATGCAAACCTACGCGGGCAAATTAAGAGACGTTTGCGAGTAAGAAATAAGTAGAGGAGTACTCACCATCTCAGAGGCCTAGGGCGTTTCTGTTGCGTGAGACGAAGAAAGCGGTACCGCGGAAGGTTGATCGTCCAAGGGAACATCCCGAGAGATCCCGTCTTGCTGCCATGCTGCCGCCGCCGCTGCCGGCGTTTGCTCCAGACATGACGATGAGATTGGATATATATTATAGTAAACCAAAATTATTACAGAGGATATATATGGAGAAATAATGTGACATAGGGTCAGGCTCGGCCTGATTGTGCCCGGCACAAGACAATGAGAGAGAGTAGCGGCACACCCCTTCTCAGTCGGCCTTGGTACTGCCCAGGCCAGGCAGTGACGCATCCTTGTCGTTCACTCGTGCACGTTTGCGCCTTTGTGTTGGGCTAGGGGAGCCTTCGGACGAGTGCTCGTCATTGTACGTGCGCGAGGCACGCTTTCGCTTCGCCCGTCTACGTCTAGGGATGAAAAACTCCCCAGACCCAGCCGTTAGCGTCGCTCAAGGTCGCAGACTCAGGCGAGTAGACGATGCAGGGGGAGGAGGTGGCGTAGGGATGCGGCTAAAAGCGTCCCGGATACCACCTCCTTTATACTCATCCGGTTCCGCAAGGGATGGTGTATTTGAACGGGTCATATCAATCCGCTGAGTGGCTTCCATGCTGTTTAAACAGAAAGATGTCATCAAAGCATGTCCAACAATACGTGACCATGTACCGGTACCTATGCAAACCAGAACCTAGCTCCGACTCATCTGGAAGGACTTGGAGAGCATTCAGCCGACCGTCCCAGCCCGAAGTTACAAGCCACTGAGGCCATGCTTCTTTAGGCAACACAACCGGCTGAATACTCTTCTTTTCAGAAGACTTCGGTGGGGTACCTTGCTGTGTGATAATTACAAACAAGTATACATCACGACCTGCCAACGACCTGCACATATCTCCGCTTCAGCCTGTGCTCAGTTCAAGTTCGAGGTAACACTTGCCATTGACCTTCGCCACGGTGTAGAGCCCCGCAAGACGCACCAAAGGCAGCCCACAGCGCTGGAAAGTAAAGAGCAACTTAAGGGCTTCCTACTACGGTGAGGCCAATGGCGATCAAAAGGCTCACCTGTTGCAGGGCATTGCATTGCGGGCCTCATGCTCAAAATAGGATGCCATGGCACACTCCATCGCTCATAGCACGCAGCTCGCCAAGATGAACCTGATTGAGTGACTTTGGCCGCAATGTCTCTCCAAAGTCCAGACTTCTCAGGCTGAAACCTGATGACGAGCTAAATAATACAGTATATGGGGGCTTGAGTAGCCTAGAGCATATGCGTGCCCCATGGCTAAGTTGGTCAAAGCGTCCGACTGTTAAAGTGGCGCAAGCTGCTTACGTAATCGGAAGGTCGTGAGTTCAATCCTCACTGGGGCAGCGATATTTTTTTATTTCGCGTCTCTGCGGCAAATCCGCCGGCGATATTGCTGCTAAGGCTCCAACTGTGTAGTTTATGCTTACAGTGGACCCGTAAATAAACAGTAAATAGTAGTAANCTGTCTATAAACTGTTCATAGACAGTAAACTAAATAGTTATCAAGCTATGTATTGTACAGAGTCAGGAGTCTTAGGAGTATACTTTACC